AGCAGCTCAGCCAGCAGCTCCGCGCTGGCCTCTCGCAGTGCGTCTGGACCGGGGTGGGCTAGGATGCCCGCTGGAGAGCGGGAGCGCCGCGGTTTCGTTAAATTGCACAGCTTGGTGACACGTTCTTGGCAGACCCAGACCACTATGAATATTTGCCCCGGCGTTCAGCAAAAATGGCCACGAAGCTACGAGGAAACCGAGATGCCCTCATCGCACCCAAGCGCTGGCGCAACTGGCAGCGAGCAAAACCCCGACGCATCCCCATGGCCCACCTCACGGCCAAGGGGTGTGTGTGTGTCGTAGGACGGGGCGCGCATATGCCAGAAACCACATCCGCATGTTAGGGGAAATGCGTCGCATGGCCATGCCGCGCAGCGACGTTTCTCACGTGAACGTGCACGCGCAATCCGACTGGCCAAGCGTCTCTCTGGCGACCCGAGCTGGGCCCTTTGGAACCCATCAGAGCTCCCGAAAGTCCTGCGAGGAAGGACTGCGCACCTTAGCCACGCCCCCCGCTATGACCACCGCTATACGACATGTAGAGGATCGAAACGTTCAGCGGCCTCCTGTAGAGCTGACGCGTCTCAGTTGTTCAAGGATGCCAGTGTCCCTCGAGGATCAGCATGTGTTCTGGACCTATTGGATCGACTCACAAACAAGCAGCAATATTTTGGAGTCATGGCACGACGAGGTCGCAAAGCCCACGGTCACGTTGTGCGGCAAGGTGGTATAATTAAACCTCAGTGTGACTTGGTTACGGTTGATGACGCGCGCGCTGCTTTGTCCCGCGCGAAACTTGACGCGTTTCCCTGGTCGGGGACTCCTCTTGTAGAAGGCAAAAAGGTTTGGCCATGGGGGGGGGGCTTAGTGAACCTGCAACCCTCAAAGACCTCGGCCCTTGCATGATGCGCTCTTTACCAGAGCGAGTCGCGCGCGGAATCCGTTGGGCGATCCTTCCCATGTCTCACTGCAGAAGACGCGATTCGAGGTATTCTCTACGTCGACGGTAGTCCGTCGTTATTCCGCATCCTCTGCCTCTTTCGCCTCCTTCGAGCGCTGCAGCGTGCATGTCGTAAGGATGTTGGTTTTGCGTGTGAAGCATCATCTCCTCCCTTCGCATTCCTACAAGCCCGCATGCACCAACCGTCTAACGACGTCGAATATCGTTGTGATGCGTTTCCGGGCAATGAGGATTTTGCCAGAGGTTTGGGGAGAAGCCCCAAATTTGCCAAATCCCCTTGTTTCTCACTTGCTCCTGATTGCCTCCCCCAGCGCTTCTTGGACATTCGCGTTTGGGGGCGTCTCATCCGATTTAACTCCGCGGGGGAAGGGGGCCCTGGACGTTCCGCGGCCGCTTGCGTTGATCTCGTCAGTGAGCTCCTTTGTCTCGAGTGGGCAGCTAGAATGGTCGGAAAGAGTGTCAGTGGGCATCCCAGGCGGCACGCATCCTGTTTCTTACGCGTGGCGAGAGCCGCGGGGCGACTGCTGACCCGCGACGTCCACGAGCTTGGCGAGAACCGACAACTTGGAGGTTCTCAAGCGGTGGAGTTTCAGGCGCTCCTGGCCTCGTCCTTCCGTGCTCTCTCGGCTCGAGCTTCGGCTGGGCCGTCTTGCGGTCGAGCTTCCCATGCCGCTCCGCGGCGGCGCCGCCGGGCCCGCCGTCGGCCTCCTCGTGGCGATCTTCGTTGTTCAGAGCGTGAATTACCTACCCCGCTTTCGCTTCCAGGCAAAACCAAGCCATACCATGCGCCTCCTCGTCAAGCGGCCTGACCAGTACAGGCTGCAGTTTGGCATCGTTCGGTATCTCTTGGAAGCGAGGGTGGTCAAAAGCGAGGTAGGTTTGTTTTCCCCCTAGTTGTGTTTCGGCTTCCGCGCCGCGGGCTGGAGCTGCGGCGGAGGTCGCGGAGGCGGCGGCGACGGCCGGCCGGCCGTGGGCGGGGCGGCGTGGGCAGGCCTCGGCAGCGCCAGGCACGGCCACGCCAGCAGAAGCCACGATAGCATCGCAGCGCAGGGCCGCCCGCATGGGCGCATTCCGCCCTGCGCGAGCATCGGGGCCTCCAGGGCATCATCGAGAGCAGAGGCGCGAAGCCCAGAGCGCGTCAGAATCCACGCGCGCCTCAGTTGCCGAAGGTGTTCGGGAATGCGTGTCAAACGCGCTCGGATTCAAGGCAGACCAGAAAGCAGCGAACACGTCGACTCCGAAGGACAAGAAGCTCAAAACACGTGGATTCGGTTTTCTCTCAGTTGCGAAGAACCGCGTGTTTTGGAAAGTGAATGGCAGTTCCTCCCAGAAGCAGCAGTGCAACCGCAAGCAGTGCATCCAGCGATGCACAAGCCAAACCGGACATGAACATGACATTCCTTGCGAAGGTGATGAAGTCACAGAAAAAGAAGAGTAATTCATCACCAGATGGCAACCCCATGATCAACGCGTTCAAGGAGATGCAGACCAGGACCGATGGCTTCGAACTCGATCCTGGCAGTGACAGTGGTGATACCCAGAGAATGTTACAGAAAATGATTAGTACCCAGCTGAGCAAAAGGAAAAGGAGGAACAGTTGACGCGCTCAAGGTGTCAGCAGTGATCTTGCAGGCCAGCGGGGACCAGCACTCTGAGAAGAAGCAGAAAGGCAACGCCGCCATGCAGAATATCGCATCGATGATGGCTGGAATAGATCCAGAAAACAATGCGAACCGAGACCTTGCAGTTATTTTGGAGGCAGTTCGTGAGACAGGTGGTGGTTCCAGCCCAGCAAGCTCGTCAGCGGCGCCAGCAGATGCTCCTGCAGCGTTACTTCGAGGTTTGATGGCTCAGCTCCAAGCCCCGAAGATAACCGAGCCAAAACATGGAGAATAATGAACCGCGTGAGCTTGCCGACAGACGAGACCGACAAACGTCCGAATACGCGAGATGCGCGTGTGAAATTGTTCAAAAAACTCATGCCAGATAAAGACGTATGCGGATAACTTCATTGAGAGCGCAACGCAGTTCATGGGGAGGATTGCGAAGTCGTCAGACATCACGCAAACGACGTTGAACACAGTTCTTGCCGCCCAGAACCCTCCTTTATCCCAACCGACTGGAAATTATGAATGAGAAGATGATGCGACTTGTCAAACATATCGTTTCAGACAAGACGCTCAAGATGGCACCTTCGCATTGGTGTCTCGACGTAGCCCATTATTTCGTTGGTGCCGCCGTCGATGGCGTTGCCTGGTCAGAGATCAGAGTGCTATGGCTCTTGTGGATGCCGATAGGCCTGGCATGCGACCTTGTCGCGATGTGCTTGGCAGCCGCAGGGTGCCTGAGCGCGACAGCGTGCGAGTGGATCAGTCTGCTCACGATTAACATGTTCATTTTGTGAGGGCGCAGCGGCAGCAGCAGGAATCAGTGAACTGCTTTCCTCCCTTAATGCTCCTGTTGTCCATGTTGTGTCAGTACATTTCCATATCCATATCACGTATTCGTTACCAGCTTTGGCCATGGGTGTAATCCGTGTGCTCTGTCTGACGGCACTCCATATCACCCTTCTTGTGTGCAGGTTAGGACACGTGCTGGGCCTAGTCGTGACACGCTATCCTATGTTGTGCAGCTTGCTCGTAACCTTTTATACCTTTGACTTTATATAACTTGTGCGGTCACAAATGTGCGGCTCAGGTATGGTGAAGGAATTAACCAGCACGTCCGGTCTTAATCCCGACGGCATGAAGTCCGAGAGTAACAGGGGGGACGGGGGAAGGGTTAGAACCTCCTTTGTTTGTTGCCTCTCTTCGTCTTCGCCACCGCCATCTCATCGGTTTGTTCACTACCAGCAGCAGCAGCAGCAGCAGGAGGAGGAGGAGGAGGAGGAAGAGGGCAGAGGAGGAAGAGGGCCAGTGTAAACCCAAGAGTCATCAACGATGTTGGAATGAACCCTCCCTCCAATCTCCTTGTTCATAGGACCCTACAACGGTTCATTCCCAATGAGGGAACTGCCTCCCTGGAAGGCAACCGTTTGAAGATCCTGAAGCGTGCCGAAACATTGCTCTCGGTATTTTACGTGACGTGACGTATTAACCTGACTGCTGCGTTTTGACGATCCGGATTCGTGCCATAACGTCACTGTTGGGAGTCCAAAGTTGCGAATCAGCTTAACTGTTGCGCCCGCATAAGCCTGAATCTTTCAAATACGCCACTTCTGGTACGCTGATCATGGGCACCCGCGAAACTCTTGCAATTCGTTGAAGCGAAAGTGCGCGACGCTAATGCGAGAGCCACAGTTTGAAAAAGAACCGCCCTCAATCCGTGAAGCTTTTGCAAAGGTTTTCAAAAACGAATGTGCGCGGCACTAAGTCGAGAGCCACATATTGCAAACGACCCGCCCTCAATCCGTGAAACTTTTGCAATCTTTGTATAACCGATATGGACGCGAAGGCGAGATCGACATTTTGAAAAAGAACCGCCATCAATCCGCGAAGCTCTGGCAAAATTTAAAAACGAATGTGCGCGGCGCGAAGGCGAAAACCATTTTTCGAAAACGACCCGCCCTCAATCCGTGAAACCTTCGCAAATGTTTAAAACGAATGTGCGCGGCGTTGAGGCAATAGCCACATGTTGAAAGCGACCCGCCCTACGAATGTGAAACTGTTGCCGCCGTTTAAAATTTCAGGCCATCAATGGTGAGGAAGTCTCTGGCGAAACGCCCGGCCCGCCCTAAAAACTGGCCTCGGGGTGCGACACGGAAAAGTTATCTATAAGGAAAAGGAATGGATGAACAGGATGAGGGAGGAGGGGAAGGAGGGGAAAAAGAATATGGAGGAGGAGGCGAGGCGGGGGACGAAGAGAAGGATGATCCCACAACCTCGTCGCACGTCCTCCCCGCTCCCCTCTCCGCCCCCTCTCGTCGCACTCCCCCTCCCCGCTTCCCTCTCTTGCCCCCCCACCTCCACCCCCACCGCTTCCCCCAGCCTTCCTTGTGTGACGTGGCTACGCGCTGCCTGCTTCACCCTGCCCCCCGCAGGCGTGACCGAGTCGCTGCTGGCGGCGTCCGTGGCGGCGACCCCTTATTGGGCGCTGGTCTGCACGGCGGGCCCTGGGAGGTTCGGGGACGGGCAGAGAGAGAGCGAGCGGGTGGCCGGCGATGCAGTCTGCGGTCGGTGGCTTCGGCATGGCGTGTCGCGGAGACGGTTAGGGCCCACCGCGCTTCGGCGCGACGCGCGACCGCCGCGACGCGCTGAGCAAACATTCCTGGCCGTATCTAGCGGCTGGCCGCCGCAGGGATCTCCAGATGCCACGGCCAGAGCCAGACCGAAAATGCCGGCAGTGGTGATGTCAGAGAGGGAGGCAGGGGCCGGTCTTGGGGGCCCACGTTGGCGCGAAGCGACACAGGCAAGTCTATTTTGCCGAGGTGCACGAGAGCAAGCAAGGCAGAGAAGCGTCCCGAGGCCAAGGCTGCTGCCCGCGCCTGGCTCGAAATCTCGATTCATGCACTCCCTTTGGGGCCTCTCCTGGGGACTTTTGGGGGCCGTCTATCGGACTTGTTGGGCCTTGTTTGGGCCCTCTTGGGCCGCCTGGAGTCTCTCTTGTGGGCTGTCTTGGACTGTCTTGTGGCGATCTTGGGGGCCTCTTGGCCCGTCGGGGAGCGCCGAAAGCCAGAAAAGTCGAACATTTCTTTAAATGGCAGTGAGTTTGTCTTCTCGTGGTCCTCTTGGATGGTCTATGGGGAGCATCTCGGAGCCCTCCTGGTCCGAGTGGTGTCCTTCTGCTTTTGGGAAAGGCACGCGAACGACCTCCCGGAGCGCCCAGCCGCGCCCAAGTTCCGGAGATTAGGGTTGTGGCCCTCTGCGCAGAGTTGTTGCTGTATTCTCTACAGGGAACCATCCACTTCGTGCCTCGAGGCATGGTGGCGGATCTGAAGGCGGAGCGCTGGTAGGTTCTAGAGGGTTCGCGTGGCAAGGATTTGTGCCTTGTCTCTCCCTTTGAGCTCACCTTGGGTCACGGGCAAGCGGCGCTTCTCAACGGTGCGGCATCGCCGATGCATCGTGATGTAACGGTACTGGCGACATGCAGCTGATTCTGAGCAATCAGAGTGGTGAACGGCGATGTGGCTCGCTTGCGTGATGCATCGATCGCGCATCGCCGCCCGCAAGGGCGCTTGATGCGGGAGTGAGGTGTGTCCCAGCTGGCTGAAGGACACATCGTATCGAGACCCACGGTGGGAGCTCGCCTCGTGTAAGGGTGGCCAATACCTACCACCTGGCGCCCGCGCACGGCCGTCGTGGATCTTTCCGCCGCGCGCGATGATGCATCTGCATGCCGATCAACACGCTTCCCATGCTGCACTGTCGTGCCGAGTCCTGCAGGACGTATTTCTGAGGAGCCCGTGCACCCGGGTCACCTACGCGCCCAGCTCCTCCGCTGAAGGCCAGAACTGAACAGTGGGAAACCGACCCCAGCCCCCACAACTATGGATTTTACATGTCAGCGTTTTGCATGTATGGCGAATGCGCGTAAGTGTAGGCGCCCTGTCGGCGAGGCCATTGCCAGCTGCCGCAGGGGGGGCCCTCGCGCGCGGCGTCGTGCAGTTCACGCGTCGTTTGACGGTCCCATGAGTCTAAAGTTCTTCATGTGGGGGGCGGGGGGCGTTTTTCATCCGTTCAAGAACGCGAGGGCCCAGCCTTCTTCACTTCCCGCTGAGAACGCGAGAACCTTTCTATTTGTGTGTATTTGTTTGTGTGTCCCAGGGCCCCGCCTTCTTTCACTTCGACGGTGCTTCCCCTGGCTTTCTGAAGCCACCGAGACTCTCCCCGCGCCCCGGGCCCAGAGCGCCAGACGCGCAGCCATGCCGTCGCCGACCTCATCCTCATCGCGCACGACACAACGTGCACTCAAAAGCAAACGGTGTGCACGTTTAGCCTTCTGTTGTTCCCATCCTACTGAAGGACCACATCCCAGAAATAAGTTCGAGCACCCGGGAATGTGTCAGAAGAGTGTCGGAAGAGTGTCGAAACAGTGTCGGGCGAGTGTCTCCCAGGGCCCGACACGTGAAAGCATGGGAGTTTCGGTACTCTTTTGGGCGCTCGAAATTCTTCCTGGTGGTCAAGGCTAACGTAGGTTGGAGCATCATAAGTTTAGCCCCGATTCTTGGTCGGTTCTCCAGTCGCAGGCCGCAGCTTATAGACTCAGCCGATCGCGACCTCGACTCGGAGTGTTCACCGCCCTGTCGATCCGATCGTGGGGAATCGTGGGCCTGCCTGGGCTAACACCTTTCGGTGGCGAGCCCGGTGGGGAAATGAAAAGGAGAAGGCCCTCTCAGAAGGTTTGGAAGTCCTCTGGCCTTCTGAGAATCGTTCCAAGCCCTCCTCCAAGACGCAGAAAACTTCTGGGAAGCCTCGCCGCCTTCTGAGAAGGCCTCCTCCTTCTCGCCTTCCCCCCCTCTCGCTCGCCGCCGAACACTGGAGGAGGGGAGAGCGGACGGAGCAAGAAGAGGACGGGAAGGAACTTGGGCGGAGAGCGAGATATCCGACAGGGGGCCTGCGCGGTGTGCCCGCCCCGCGTCTCGGGGCGACTGTCCCAGCATCGCTGCGGCGTGGCCTCCAGACGGACGGCAACACGAGTGAGCGCTCCTCGCGTCAGCGCTAGATGAAACGGGGTCGAGTGCGCCGACGTTGGCGCGTACGCTTCTCGCGGAAGGCGGCCCTTAGGCGCACTCGCTGCGAATGTGGCGTGCCTCAGTGGCGGCCGGCGTATTAAGCCGCCGCTTAAGTTCGTCGTGTCGGCGGCGAGCGATGGGGGAGAAGTGAGAAGGAGAAGGCCTTTGAGAAGGCGGCGGTGCTTCTCGGAAGCCCTCGCGCCTTCTGAGAAGTGTTCTGCGTCTTCGGGGAAGGCTTCGGAAACTCTACAGACGGCCCGAGGACTTCTGTGCCTTCTGGGAAGGCCCGCCCCTTCTGACTTCCCCCCTAGGCTCGCCGCCGAATCTCGCGTGAGAGCCGTTTCTGTTTGCCGCACAAGTGGTCCGCTTGCTCCCGTTTCTTCCGACGCGCGGCCTTCCGTCGTGGGGCGGGCGCTTCGGCCACCAGGGCAGCAGGCTCCGCCCCTGACGGACGCAAGGCCCGCCGAGAACGTGTGTCGGGTTTCGTCTGCGTGGGCGCGTCGAGAACAAGCGGCAGGGTGACATTTGAAGGTACCTTACGAGGAGGAGGAAGAGGAGGAGGGGGAGGAGGAGCAGGAGGAGGAGGAGGAGGAGGAAAAGAGGAGGAAAAAGGGAGAAGGAGGAGGAGGAGGAGGAGGAGGAGGAGAATGATAAGGGGAATAGAGAAGGAGAGGAGGAGGAGGAGGAGAGGAGGAGGATAAGGAGGAGAGGAGGGAGGAGGAGGAGGGGGAGGAGGAGGAGGGAGGAGAGGAGGAGGAAAAGAGGAGGATGATGACGCGGAGGAGAAGGATGCGAAGGAGCAGAAGGAGGAGGAGGAGGAGGAGGAGGAGGAGGAGGAGGAGGAACGGACAGCGGAGAAGGAGGAGGAGGAGGAGGGGAGGAGGAGGAGGAGGAGGAGGAGGAGGAGGAGAGGAGGAGGAGGAGGAGGAGGAGTTGGAGGAGGAGTTGGAGGAGGAGGAGGAGGAGGAGGAGGAGGAGGAGGAAAAGAGGAGGAGGAGGCGGAGGAGGAGGGAGGCAGAGGAGGAAGGGGAGGCGGTGGGGGAGGAGGAGGAGGAGGAGGAGGAGGAGGAGGAGGAGGAGGAGAGAGGAGGAAGAGGAGGAGGAGAAGGAGGAGGAGCAGGAAAAGAGGAGAAAACGAGGAGGAGGAGGGAGAGGAGGAGGAGGAGGAGGAGGAGGAGGAGGAGGAGGAGGAGGAGGAGGAGAGGCGGGGCGGAGGGAGGAGGAGGAGGAGGAGGAGGAGGGGAGGAGGAGGAGGAGGAGGAGGAGGAGGAGGAGGAGGAGGCGGAGAGGAGGAGGGGGAGGAGGAGGAGGGAGGAGGAGGCGGAGGAGGAGGAGGAGGGGAGGAGGAGGAGGAGGAGGACGAGGAGGAGGAGGAGGAAGAGGAGGAGGAGTTGGAGGAGGAGGAGGAGGAGAAAGAGAAAGAGGGGAGGAGGAGGAAACAGAGGAGGAGGAGGAAGAGGAGGGGGAGGACGAGGAGGAGGAGGCGAGGAGGAGGAAACGAGGAGGAGGAGCAGGCGGAGGAGGAGGAGGAGGAGGAGGCAGCGGAGGAAGAGGAGGAGAAGGAGGAGGAGGAGGAGGAGGAGAAAGAGGAGGAGGTGGAGGAGGAGGAGAAGGAGGAGGAGGAAGAGGAGGAGGAGGAGGAGCAGCAGCAGCAGGCGGAGGAGGAGGAGGCAGCGGAGGAAGAGGAGGCGGAGGAGGAGGAGGAGGAGGAGGAGGAGGGGGAGGAAGAGGAGGAGGAGGAGGAGAGATCCGTAGCCATTTTGGCTCAAGCCGTCGGACGCGCCCCCGGGGCTCAAGCTGGCTCGTCATGAGCGACCGGTCTGCTGCTGCTGCTGGAGGTGTTCTGGACTTGGGAATGGCGCGGGACGGCGGAGTTTTTCTCCGCCCAGTGCGCTCTGCCGAGGCCCGCCGGGCTTCTCGGGCATGGGCGCGTTGGTCCGCTGACCGTGCCGTGGCCAAGCGCGTGGAGGAGCTGCAGGCCGTCCGCGGGCAGCTGGCAGCGGCGGAAGCGGCCCTGGACTACATCGTGGGGGATGCCGAGGTGGCACAGCGTCTCCGCGCACTTCTGCCTGCCTTCGTGGCCACGCTCCACGGGATGGAGCCCACCTGGCTGGAGAAGCTGCGGCGCAATGTTGCGCTCCACGCCGAGGCCCTCGAGATCGACGTGGCGTTTGCAGGCGCTCGCGAGCTTCGCCGAGCACAGCGTGGGCCTCGCCTCGAGGCACGGCGCGCGGGAGTCGGCCGCGCCCCCGCCAGCCTCTCTGCTGATGCGGCGGAGTTCGTCCCTGGCACTTGGGAGCTGCTGCCCGTGGGGCCCTCCGTCCACGTCGTGCAGGTAGACTCCGAGATCCACGAGCTCTCGGACGCGGAGGCTGCGCAGTTTCCTGTGCTGGGGTCCCACCCCCCCAGTACGGACGGCTCTGAGGGTGGGGCTGCTGCGCAGTTTCCTGTGCTGGGGTCCCACCCCCCCAGTACGGACGGCTCTGAGGGTGGGGCTGCTGTGGCTGGGGTCAGCGCCACGGATGCGGATCTGGCGGTGGTCCAGCAGTTGCACGCCCAGACAGTCGGTGCCATCAACGCCAAGCGGATATCGAGGAGGCGCAAACTATATCCACAGCCGTTCAAGTGGAAGCTTGCCAGGCTGGAGCGTGAAGGATGGCCCGTGACGGTGGAGACGAAGGATGCGGCGTCCTGCAACCAGCAGTGACGCTCGTGTACTCCTTGCCAGGCGTGGCGTGGTCCGTCGCCTACTCGGCCGTGGGGCTCGTGCCTGGCATGGAGGTGCACTTGGGGGAGCCCGTCGTTGCGCCCGTCGCGTTCCTCTTCTGATCCGCTCGTGTTCGGGCCAGTCTTTCAATGAGGGATTGGGTCCGCAGAAGCTCCAGAGGCTCAGGAGGAGGAGGAGGAGGAGGAGGAGGAGGAGGAGGAGGAGGAGGAGGAGGAGGAGGAGGAGGAGGAGGAGGAGGAGGAGGAGAGGAGGGAGGAGAGAGGAGGAGGAGGAGGAGGACCAGGAGGGAGGAGGAGGAGGCGGATGATGATGATGAGGAGGAGGAGGAGGAGGAGGAGAGAGAGGAGGAGGAGGAGGAGGAGGAGGAGAGGCGAGGAGAGAGGAGGAGGAGGAGGCGGAGAAGGAGGAGGAGGAGAGGAGGAGGAGGAGAGGAGAAGAAGGATGCGCAGGAGCAGGAGGAGGATGAGGAGGAGGAGGAGGGGGCGGAGGAGGACCAGGAGAGGACCAGGAGGAGGAGGAGAGGAGGAGGAGAGGAGAAAGAGGGAGGTGGAGGAGGAGGAGGAGGAGGCGGAGGAGGAGGAGGAGGAGGAGGAGGAGGAGGACGAGGAGGGGAGGAGGAGGAGGAGGAGCAGGAGGAGGAGGAGGAGGAGGAGGAGGAGGAGGGG